CATTAAGTTTATTGGTACATTTAAGGTAAACAACACAGTTACATTCATTATTGGGATCTTGTACCTTTAAGTATGATATATCTTGGTTCTTATTTTTTCCCATTCCCCTGCCCTCCCTTCACCCGCTTCACCCTCCCCTATTTACAAAGACTTTGTAAAAAAGAAAGAGCATTTATTTGGGGAACTTTCAGACAGATGTTGGGGGGAGCTGTGGTGCCCCCATAGTGGCTCAGGGCCAGGGCTGGTGGTTTGTTAAGTGCTTTGAGGAATAACCTAAACACTTTTATCAGTGCCTGGGAATGTTCAAGGCCCTGGCTGGGGTTCAGTCCTGCAGGGAAAACATGTAGCTGGCCAGGTCACAGAGTGGTCAAGGCGCTCTGTGTTTCTCCATCCAGAGAAAAAAGCGGGGGAACTGGGGATCCTACACGTAGCCACCCCCCACCACCGTTGGCCACCCTGACTGTGCACCCTGCCAAGGAGTCCCCTGCAGCCCAGCCTCCAGCTGTCTCCAGCCCTCTCTGTGTTGGTCTTGATCTTACAGTTGCCCCCATGATCCTCCTGGAATCGCACTGCGCCGCGGCCCGTGACACAGTGCAGTGTCTGTGCGTGGTGAAATCAAACCCCGAGCCATCTGTGGCCTTCGAGCTGCCATCTCGCAATGTGACGGTGAACGAGACAGAGCGGGAGTTCGTGTACTCAGAGCGCACTGGCCTCCTGCTCACCAGCATCCTCACACTTCGGGGACAGGCCCAAGCCCCGCCCCATGTCATCTGCACCTCCAGGAATCCATATGGCACCAAGAGCCTGGAGCTGCCCTTCCAGGGAGCTCGTGAGTGCTACGGCCTTGGGGTGGGGCTGAGGGAAGGAGGGGGCTGCCTTGGATCCTGAGCCTGGGGCAGCTGTGCAGATTGATTGAGTAGCAGAAGACTCTCTGTAGCTGGTGCTGGGGTGCTGCCTGAGTTTACCTGCTCTGGGCACCCCCAGTAGCTGAGGGATAGCACCCAGGTACAACCAGGGGCTTCCATGTTCACCAGTCAGGGCAAGGATGTGACGGCTGTGCAGATGTCGGACTCTCACCCCACCGAGTCTCCTGAGAACTCAGGTGCCTTGCTCCCTGAGCAGCAACCCTGAAGCACCTGGGTCCTCTCTGTCCTCAGACCGACTGATGTGGGCCAAGATTGGGCCCGTGGGGGCTGTGGTTGCCTTTGCCATCCTAATTGCCATCGTCTGCTACATCACCCAGACCCGAAGAAAGTGAGTGCGTGTCAGGGCTGATCTGGGGATGGGGAGGCTGCCAAGGGTGCGGACGAAGGTGGGAGGTTGGAAGTGGGCAAGAGAGAGCAGTGTGGGGAGGGTGGATTCTGCGCTGAGAGTGCTCCTCTGGACAGGAGATGGGCCTTGTGCCCCGCTGGCCAGGTACAGGGCCTGGCCGAGCCCCTTGGAGGCCATTGGTGAGCCGTTTGCCTGCACTCAGCACTCAAGCCTCTCTGCCTCCAGGAATGTGACTCTGCCCATCTTCAGCCAAGGCAGGAATCCTGGAGGCAGAGGGGACACTGAGAATATGTTCTGAAGAGTGTGTTTGCTCGGTGTTAGAGAGAGGGGTAGGAGCCACTCTGGGGTTCCTGGGGCTAAAGCCCAAGGTAGATGGAACATGCAGAAGGGGTAGGGAGAGGGAGACCTGAGAGTCCCACTGGGACTGATGTGTCCTTCCCTGCAGAAAGAACGTGACAGAGAGCCCCAGCTTCTCGGCAGGGGACAACCCCCACGTCCTGTACAGCAGCGACTTCCGCATCTCTGGGGCACCAGAGAAGTACGAGGTGAGGACCAGGGCCCCATGGCTCCAGGCTAGCCAGGGACCTGGGTGCCAGGGATGCTGAGGTCCTGGTCAGGGACCATGAGGCCAAGGGGCAGAGGGGGGGAGGTCAGGAAGGAACTGCGGAGGGCTGGGTTGTCCCTGGAGACTGGCGGGGAGGTGCCAGGCTGAGTTGTGAGGGAGTGGCGGTGGGGCCCTCACCCTTCCTGCCTGTGTCTGTGACTGCATTTCCTTCTCCAATAGTCCAGAGAGGTCTCTGCCCTGGAATGTCACTGAGAGCCCCAGGAGGTAGGTTCCGGGGCCTCAGTGTGCCTGCCCCTAGGCCTGCACGGGCCTTAGGGTGGTGTCCATGTGTGCGTCCTCGTCAGGCATCCGAGACAGTCTCTGGTTAAGTCTGGTCCCGCCCAGCAGCCCCAGCCTTGTCTATTCTGTCCCGCTGCTGCTTCTGCTGTCTGTAGCCATTGTCCTGTGTACGTGTGTCTCAGCGCCTTTGAGATGGGGGACGGGGTGTGAAACATGGGGTGTGGGGGGGCCGAAGCTGCACCTACAGGGTCTCCCAGAGGAGGCGAAGAACTTACCAAAGCAGGCATTTGCAAGCTATTGGAAGGATCTGGCCTAGGAGACTGAGTATGGTAGGGGGGTTCCGGGTTGCCTTGTGTGCCCCTAACATTCCTATGTTGAAGCAGGCATCATGGAGGAAGGGACTTTGGAGGCAGATTTCAAGCTCCACGGTGAGGAGGTTGTGGAGTTGGGGCCTCAGTGCTGGCAAAGGCCCAGAGTAGGATGCAGTTGTGACTTGGGGTGTTCTGGGATGGAGATCCTCAAGAGACACGCTTGCCCCGTGCTTTGGTGCTGGGCTCTGGGTGATGGGGATATAAACATTCCAGTGTTGGTGTGGAGAAAGTTGGGGAGAGGGTCCTGCTGATGAGTTGTCCCTCCCCTGCCCCCATAGAGCGAGAGGCGCGTGGGATCTGAGAGGAGGCTGCTGGGCCTTCGTGCAGAACCCCCGGAGCTGGACCTGAGCTATTCCCATTCAGACCTGGGAAAACGACCCACCAAGGACAGCTACACCCTGACGGAGGAGTTAGCTGAGTATGCTGAAATCCGCGTCAAGTGAGGGAGCGGGGTAGCCCATGTGGCCTCCGCCCTCAGGACCCTCACTGGCCCTCACTGGCTGCGGGCTCCCTTCCTCCTCACAGTGGTGGGGGCTGGGACGGAAGAGGACGGGGCAGGGGACAGTGCGGTTCTGGGGCTTGGCCTCCCTCTCCTCCCCAACTGCCCCTTCCTGCCACACTCCCACTCCCACATTTTGGCTCCCCTCCACCATCCTTTAACCTCGTCTGTCGGTGGTGGGGAGCCTTGTCTATCCGTGTTATTTATTGCTACCCCCTGCCTGGTCTCCTGCCCCCACACCTGGCCCCAGGACATGTACAATAGGGACACGAAATAAATGTTCTGATGCTAAATGCCAGTTTAGATCCGATGGCTTTTGGTGGGTCTTTGGGGAGCCTGCCATCCTGCTGTTTCCTGAATGGTCCCAGGGATTCACCTCCCTCTCTGCTGGACCCTGTATGGGGGTGAGGGCCCAGGGATTCCGAACATCAGCTTGAGTCAACCACCATTAAGTTGCCCCTTCTCTGGCAGCTGCAGGCTTGGCCTGATCTGGTTTCTGGATGATTTCGCTCAACTCTCGTTTCTATTTCGGCTACAGCCAGGTCATCTGACAAGGCCAGGCTCACTCTTGCAGGAGACTCAGTGAAAGGGGCAGGCTGCCCCTTCTGAAGGACACACACGCCCCACTGCCACAGCCCCCTGCCACTCTGTCATCCACTCCTGCCTGGGTCTGCTCCCTGATAAGACCTTCTGGTCTGGGCAGATGGAGTGGGACTGACAGATCCATGTATCCATGAGCGTCTCTTGCTTGGACGGCCACCCCTCACCTTCATGCTGTGCTCTGCCGCTCCAGCCTTCCGAACAGACGTAAGGGGCCAGCTGTACACTCAGGATCTTTTGGAAGCTCAGGCTGTCCTGAGAAGGGACCCCAGGACAAAACTGTGAAGATGAGAATACTGAGGATCAGAGAAACTAGGTGATGATTTTGCCAGGATCTTGACGCCAAACAATGGAATCTTTAGACCTGGAGGTAGCAGAGATGAGAGGGGGCCAAATATGCTAAGCACACACCCAAGCTCAAAGCTTTATGGGGGGAGGGTGGCCAAATGGGGCATTGGCCGCAGGGCTCAAACAACTGGTCCAGACAGTGACCAGGCTGCTGCTCCCGGAGCAAACAGAGAAATGGGTTTCTATCGATTTTGCTGGGGAGACCTAAAGTCTTGTAATTCCCACTGGCCAGGGATGCAGTTCCCCAAAAAATGTTTCTTCTTGGATGGATCTGGACTACCAGGTGGTCACCATCAACTGTGGCATTTCGGTCCCTGGCACCATCATCCTGCAGGAGGCGCCACAGCCTTGTACTCGGTGGGCTCAGGAAGTGCTGGCATCAGCATCCTGTATTTGCTTCCTGGCCTCCTGATGGGGCTGAAGGACTCCAGGGCTTGAGCTGCTGAGAGAGCCTGAGGCGGCCCGGAAGAAGCACAGACCAGCTCCATCCCTGAATCATAGCCTCGGGATTTTCATTCATTCATTCCTTAAGTAAGAAAGCATTCATTTCTTAGATGACCAGCAGGTCTCTGTGTCGAGCTGAGTACAATCTGACCCAAGGATTAAGGCAGCAGAGGGGACAGACACAGTATGAAGACAGAGATGCCAAGCGCTGATCCCACATTAGTCATCCTTCAGACATCTGCAGGCCGGCGAGGAGGGTCAGTGTTTCAGCAAGAGCAGCCGTCAGGTCTGGGGGAGGCAGCCCAGGCACCGTTAGCATAACCCACACAGCAAAGCCAGTGGGAAGCTAACAGGGTATCACCCAGCGGCGTGACCTCTAAAATGAGTGATCTTAAATTGGCTAAGAGCAAATGAAGCTAAAAGGCTTATTTAGTTTTTTCTCATTTCATGTGAACATCCTGCTTTGGTGGTTCTTATCAGGGTTTTATGATGGGTCTGTTGACCCACCATGCTGCAAAGAGCAAGCATTTCCTCTGCCTGGAAGTGCCTTTGGTCCAGTCAGTGTCCCACCATGGTGTCCCCTGTCTGTCTGTCTCAGGACCCAGAGCAAGACGTGATGTGGCCAGGCCTTGGAGTAGTTCTGCACTTTTTCTAACACACCTGTCAGGAATTTAAAGGGCTAGATTCACTGGTATAAATGGTGTCATGGCTAACATTTGTTACATGCTCACTGTGTGCTACACAGTCCTGTATAATTTATCTCAATTAACCTCCATTGACGTTCCCTAGTGACTATGATGATGATTCCCACAGAGCAATCACTAGCCAGTAGCATAGAATTTCAGGGGAACTTGTTAGACAAATTCCAGGCCCCACCCAGAAATGTGAGAGTCAAACACTCCAGGGAGGGCCCTGGCGATCTGCATTTTGAGGAGTCCTGGGGTGGGAGAATGTTGGTGCTCTGTGATGTTTGAGAACCCGGAGTGGCTAAGCACAGTGAGGTCAAATCACGCTCTGCAGCCCCAGCCCCTAGCTTGGAAGCCATCCTCCACCCACTGTGCCTCCCTGTTGCTCTGGTGAGAACCACCAGCAGCTCACAGGCCCCTGGGGTGCTGGGGAGCAGTAAGAATGAAGCTGTGGGCCTGTAGACAACTGAGGAAAGGGGTTAAGAATTGGGGAGCCTGGTTTTTGAAGTCAGAGTAGCCAGGACTGAGCGCAGGTCCTGGGTTTTCCCTCAGTGTTGCAGGGAAGGAGATCAAATAGTCTCTCACATACTGTACTACCCAGCCGTGACGTGTGACAAGTGCTCCCAAGGACAGAGGGGGCCTCTCAGAGAATGCAGTGGAAGTGACCTGGGGCTTCAGGAGAGGCTCAGCACGGAAGGAGGTCACACTGGTGTGAGGGCCTCAAGAGGAAACATGTTTGGTTAAAGCAAGGCCACAGGGCATGAGGTGGGGGGGTTCTCTCCTCGGCCCGGGGTGGGAGTTTCCTCCCGGGTCCTGTGCACTTGCACTCGCTGGGCCAGCCCTGACACACGGACAACAGATCCTGGCTCCGGCAGGTCTGGCCTGGTAGGAATGCGTGCTGAGGACTTCGGCCTGGAGAGCAGTGTCAATAACCAGGGATGGGAACAGGGAATAACTTCGGCTGTCCAAGTGCAGCTCAAGGGAGCAGCGCCGTGCTGGTGTGCAAGATGATGCGGGGAGAGGGGTTGCAGCACGAAGTGAGACTGATGCTTTTGGTCCTATTCATGCTTCATTTAGTATGTGTCAGAATAAAAGGAACCCAGCACCCCAAACTCATGATCTTCTTCCTCCTCGTCCTCTCCTTCTTTTTATAAATTCTCAGGAAGAGACTAAGTTTAAAAAAGTTAAAAATCAATCAAGTGATTTAAAGAAGTGTATGAAATGGCGGAGAAGTACTCCATGGTGTATAAATACCGTATTTTATTATCCATTCATCTGCGGATGCACAAAAAGGCCGTTTCCAAGGTTTAGCGAGTATAAATTGTGCTGTTATAAGCACGGGCATTCCTCTGCCATAAAGAGCGATAAACTTGAGGCATTCCTGAGTATATAATATTCCTGAGACCATAATATGAAGTGAAACAAATCAGACACACGAGCTGAAATATCACGTGGCTTCTTTTACAAGAGAGGCCCCAAATATAAATAAAGAGCAAAAGAAAAGATAGATAATAGGAAGTAGGGAGACCTATTTCAGATGGGAAGAGGAACAAGAGATGGCAGGGAAGGGGGAGAGGAGGTAAAAGGGGATTAAAAAAAGGAGTGAAGAAAAATATGGAAATAGAGACTGCAAAAGGGGACTCCTGAGTCCAAAGGAGCAGGACGGGACGGGAGGGGCGGGGGACACAAAAAGAATTAGGATGTGTTATGCACAGGTATCAACTTCCTATAAATATAATCATTGTGTACGGCA